CAGCACTTGCCAAAAGCCAGCCAGTCAAATCTGGTAAATTTGCCTGAAATTACCATGCAACCAAGCAACCCAGATTCTGGTTTTCTGCCTAACCTTCTAGACAAAGTTAGTGGATTTTTAATGAGTGCCACTGACTTAGATCCTCTATTTGATATATATATATATATATATATATTATCTTTCAGCAGCACTTGCCAAAAGCCAGCCAGTCAAATCTGGTAAATTTGCCTGAAATTACCATGCAACCAAGCAACCCAGATTCTGGTTTTCTGCCTAACCTCCTAACTCAATGAAATTGATATTTAAGGATAAAAACTTATAAAGTCTTACACTTTAGGACAGGGGTGTTTGAATGTTTCCTTGTTTCAATTACAATTTCTGAGCATATTTTTTTATTCACTTTTTGCAGAACAAGGCTGAAGCTGCTTTTGAAAAATATAAGCAGGAGAACCCAGATTCAAGCACTAAAGATTTGTTGAGAGCTGTAAGGAAAATCATGTCCGAAGTTAGGGGGTCTGAAAGGAGCAGACGTGTAAGAGGATTGGGGTTAGGACCAACCCCAACCTAATTTTGAGGTATTTTTATACCTAATTTTTTATAAATATAATTAATAAATATTTTTTACTTAAAAAAATCCATTCTCTTTTTTAAAGAATTCGCATTTTATTGAGAAAAACCAGAAAACACTTCTTTTAGTTGTATTACATGGCCCACAAAATAAAAACATTAGTACCATTTTTTTTCCTTAATTTCTTTTCCTGAAAATGGAATTGAGAATCCGCCACTCTTGCAAAGGTTCACCTTCCTTTCTCCTCGGGCAATGGTTCAATCTGGCCCATGACACTTGCTCAAAAAAAAAAAAAAAAGGATTGAGAGCCCAAATAGTCCTAATCTGTAGCCCAAATAGAATTCTTCTGGGCCTCTCTTATGGTAACTGAGAAATTTGCTCGATTAATCTAGGAATTGGGAGACAGAGAAGCAAGCCACACCGTTCGCCTCTGCACTTTTAAACTGAAAGCCAAGAAGTTTTGGGGTTCTAATTAGCTTCGAGGCATCACCTTCGACCTCTCCCAGCTGATGGGTTCACTTTATTTCTCTGTTTTGTGCCGGGTTTTTGTTTTTCTTGAATTTCTGCAGCACTGCAGAACTGGGTTCCTTGATGAAGTGATAAAGTCAATAGATTGTGTGGTTATACCAATAAGAAATTTGTTACATGTATTCAAGAGATTTTTTTTGATACGGGGATACCATTTTATGATGTAGGCAGTTTACACTTTGAGTGCGAGTGCTTAGTGCAGGGGATTTTACTTTGTCCAACTGGTGTTTGATGAATTGCCCTTTAGAAAGGTAGTATTTTAATTGTTTTTTGAATGGTTAAAACTTTCTGGGTAGGGGGAACTTAAACCCTGCGCAAGGCTAGAATAGGACAGGTGCAAGAAAGATTGTAACTTGGGTTTGTTTATAGGGTTTGCATTGTATGTCATTTAGCATTGTTGGTTCATGTGCTCATCATTTTTAATTATTAGGAACCCAGTGGAGCAGTCTTAAATTGGTAAATGACGCTTTTGTTTATGTGGTATTGTACTCACTGCATAAGATTCAAATGCCTTAGATAGTGTTCTAATATTGGAATTCATGCTAGAAGGATGATGCTTAGTAGTAGTTGATTAACATTAGCCAGTATGATGGTAGATGCTCTTGGCAGTTGAAAATGGAGAGCAACCATCAATAACTTGAAATTGGGTTTACTTGATAAATTTGATTGTTCAAGTTTAGATTCAATAAGAAGAGAATATTGAGCCGGTGGAGATCGATTCCTTGGTTCTTTCTGCAACCCACTGTCCAAATAACCATTTTTGTTGCTACCTTTTGTGTAGATACGTGGTTTTACTCTTGAATGGTTTTAGAAATGCACATACACTAGTGTTAACAAACATTTGAGAACAATAGTAGTTTTGACTATTTCATTGTGGTTGTGACGTTGATGTCTGCTCTTTCTCATTTTATGCAGATTTTTGGATGAGAGTTTGTATTTAGCACATGATAGACTGATGAAGAAGGCCCTCTGTTTTGCTTCTTCTATATGGGGAAAAGCCACAGTCTTCTTGAGCAAAGATTTTCAAAATTTGTTATGATGGACTTCACTTACAAAGATGAAAAGGTTTGCTGTCTCATTCTTGGGCCACTTTCCCCAACTTTTTTCTTATCACCATCACCTTGGTTCTCCTCCAAATTGTTCTCCTATGTTCTTCAACAGATTTTTGAGCCAAACACTCCTTTGCTCAAGTTCAACCAATACCAGACTTTTTCCTGACTATTCCCCAAAGAAACCCACCATTAGAGACTTAGAGTTTGTGCATCAAATCACTTCTATCATAAAATTACGTCGCTCTGAGCCCCTCCCTCGCATTTTAAAGCCTTATGAGTCAAAGTTCCAATCTAATCACCTAATTTGGGTCCTGATGAAAATTAAGAATGACTATGGACTTGTTTTGGATTTCTTTGAGTGGGCATGCCTGCACAGAGACCCAACTCTTGAAGTTCGTTCCATTGTTGTCCAAATTGCTGTGGCTTCAAAAGATTTAAAAATGGCTCGTTGGCTTATTCTTGACTTTTGGAGAAAACCCAATTTGGATGTTAGTCTATCTTTCACGCATTTTGTTGAGCGGCTGGTATACACTTACAAGGTTTGGGGTTCAGATCCCCATGTGTTTGATGTTTTCTTCCAAGTACTTGTTGAAGTTGAGATGCTTGATGAAGCAATGAAATTTTTTGGCAAAATTTTGAATTATGGTGTGGTTATCTCTGTTGATTCTTGGAACCTATATCTTTCTCGTTTACCAAACAATTTGCATGGGCTTTGGAAGGCAATGAAGGTTTATACTGAAATTCCTCAAGTAGGTGTTTGTTGGAACACTACATCATACAACATTCTTATTCATCTTTTTTGTCAACTTGGGAAAATAAAGGATGCACATCTTTTGCTCCTGCAAATGGAGTTGAGGGGCTGTATTCCCGATGTTGTAAGTTATAGTACCATAATCAATGGATATTGTCACATACAAGAACTGCAAAAGGTGTTGAGGCTCATTAGAGAAATGCAAATAAAGCAATTGAATCCTAACCCTTGTACTTACAACAGCATAATTCATCTTCTATGCAAGATGGGTAAAGTAGTTGAAGCTGAGAAGATTTTGAGGGAGATGATCAATGAAGGAATCTATCCTGATTTTGTGGTATTCTCAACTCTCATTGATGGTCTTTGTAAGCGTGGAAATCTTTCAGCTGCCTATATGTTGTTTCACGAGATGCAGCGTTGGAGAATTATGCCTGATTTATTAACTTACACCTCTCTTATTTGTGGATTTTGTCAAATTGGAAATATGATTGAAGCAGACAAAGTTTTCCATGAAATGTGTGGTAGAGGGTTGGAACCAGATGAGGTTACATGTACAGCCCTTATTGATGGTTATTGTAAGGTCGGTAAGATGAAAGATGCCTTTTTACTTCATAACCAGATGGTTCAGGTGGGGTTGGTCCCAAATGTTGTCACCTACACTGCTTTAGCAGATGGACTTTGTAAATCTGGTGAGTTGGATACAGCAAATGAGCTTCTTCATGAGATGTGTGGGAAGGGCCTTCAACTGAATATCATCACTTACAATGCAATGGTAAATGGACTTTGTAAAGCAGGAAACATTGTTGAAGCTGCAAAGCTTATGGAAGATATGGAAGTGGTAGGGCTCAATCCTGATACTTTTACATATACCACTCTAATGGATGCATACTGTAAGGTAGGGGATATGAGTAAGGCTCAAGAACTACTGCAGAGAATGCTTGACAGAGGGCTCCAACCAACTATTGTTACGTTCAATGTGCTAATGAATGGATTTTGTATGTCTGGAATGTTGGAAGAAAGTGAGACTCTGCTAAAATGGATGTTGGACAAGGGTATAACGCCAAATGCAATCACCTACAATTCTCTTATGAAGCAGTATTGCATCAGAAACAACACATGCGCTACAAGTGCAGTTTATAAAGGTATGTGTGCTCAAGGAGTGTTGCCTGATAGCAACACTTATAACATTTTGATAAAAGGGCATTCAAAAGCAAGAAATATGAAAGAGGCATGGTTTTTGCACAAAGAAATGGTTGGGAAGGGATTTAGTCTCACACCTAGTTCCTATAATGCCATGATCAAAGGTTATCTTAAAAGGAAGAAATTTTTGGAGGCAAGTGAACTATTTGATGAGATGAGAAGACAAGGATTGACTGTTGATAAAGATATATATGATCTGTTTCTTGATATAAAACTATGAAGGCAACATGGAAACCTTACTTGAGCTTTGTAACGAGGCAGATCTTGTGGATAAGTCCGAGAGTGAAATTGAGCACTATGCTGTCTGTTGTTGAACAATCATGGATGTAGTTCCCACTTCCTACCCATGATCCCAATAGGCTTGTGTTGTGACCACGGAGGCCAAGCCCCAAGGAAGATACATGACTGCTTTGTGGACAATCACTGATGGACAATGAATCTGCAGCTGCAAAGCAGTCATTTGAGCAAGGAAGGTGTTCTGGACCAATGCTATAAAATTTTGATGTAAACCATGCTATTGATTGTACAAAAAAAAGAATCAGTGGCATTGATGTGTCTGACACCATCTCAAGTGATCCTCTGTTGCGAGTACACCAGGTATCAAATATCATGATTGTAGTGCAGGATTTCTGCATGTTCAAATGGAATATTCAAAGATTTGAGGTGCATCTCATCGTTTAGATCCTTTGTTGTATGAAACTGGATGAATATGTATATATATCCAAAATTTCCTGCCAAGATAGATTCTCCATGCATAGTAATGTGATACTTCAGATATTCTGGAATTTCATCTATCACCTTTTTTTTTTCTTTTTTTTTTATTTGGTGTGGGGTAAGGTTTTTCATTCATCAATTTTTTTTTCCTTTTCCTTTTTTCTTTTGTTGGATAACATGGATATAGGGCCACTGGCCTCTTAAAAAATTGACCATGATAGCTTCACAGTGTGAATTGTGGAATTTAACAATCTTGATCCTCCTGAGAAGGGAACAAACGGAAAGTGTTATGTATTTTAATCTTTGCTTCAGTCAGCAAGCACCACTGGTCTAGCGGTAGAACAGTACCCTGCCAGTGGTCTGGTGCAATCCTTTTTGGTCCCGGAATCTTTCTGAAGGAGGGCTAGTTGGAAGTACCGGGGGCAGGACTCACCCAATCCATCCCTCAGACCCTGCCAATGGAGCAATTACCTCCCTTTGCGAGAAAGGAAATAAGCCCGAAGTTTGGCATGTATTAATTGTGAATTTTTTTAAGATAAGTAAATATTTTTTTTCTACTTTAATTTTATTATTATTCACTTACTTTAATTTAATTATTTAATTGCACAATTTTTATTTAACTCTTATTTTTTAGAAATATTATAGATAAATATAAATATTATTTTTAAGTTTTTAATTAAAAAATTAAAAATAATAATTATTTTAAGAGAGAGTATTAATTTTATTTACTCGTGCGAAAATTACTTCAAGCTGGATGTCCCTATTTACCTTTCCTCCGAATACTTTTCTTGCATATTAAAATCTCTGCTCTTCTTACTTCTGTTTTGAGTTTGGACATCATTTTTCAGTATTGCTTTTCATTGAATACAACGAAAATGCGGTAAGGAAGTTGTAATCTTGTGTGGACTTGGGAATCATATGGCTATCAATTGAAATTTCTTGGAACCACCAAGTCTTCTGTGAATGTTCATTAGGGGAGACCGGAAA